AACAGGCACTTCCAGATGTCTAAGTCAAATAGGATGCTGTTACTCACCAATGAAGTTTATGATGACAGCCTATGCTTTCTATCAAAATTCCTAGCTTATATCAGTTCCTACTACCCTACATCCCTTTGTTCCATGAAAGGGCGCCCTATGGGAAAAGAAAATACTCGAAGAAATTAAGCTTAAAAACTAAGCTTTAAAGTTTTCTGGCTTACCAAATGAGAGACAGGCTGTAAGCAGCCCCACCCTACAGACCAGATTTCTATCCAGCAGCAACAAGAGAGACAATGGGATGGAAACATTTCAAGCTGTGGATCTATGAGATTAGTACAAGCAAGGGAAAGCTCTACTGAGCATTCTCAAAGTGAGAAGGAAAAAAAGAACTACAACAACAACAATAATAAAAAGGCTTTGAAAACCCCAGTCTTGTTCTCTTGTAACACCTGGGATTTTCACTAAGAGCGGTAGCAAAGAAGCAATCATCAGGGATATACTGCAGCCCACCAAAGCATTCATCAGAAGAAAGTTACCGCTTACAAAAAGTCTTTAGGCAAGTCAGGACCAAGTTCTCAGATCCTCCCTTGGCCAAATTACACTTACTTTTTCCAAACAGATAGAAATCTGACAAAAACAAAACCTTGGGCAAAATGAAAGGTTCCAGGAAAGACTGACAGAGATTTGTAACTCGATAAGGACATCAAACACTCAACTGAAAATAACTTAACGTTTAGTTTTTTTATACATCTAAAAATAGTGTTTATTCGATTTTTCTAATAAGCTGTCTCCAGGGGATTTCATCATAATTTGTCCTTTGTTGTAGCATGTTTGCTATTTCATAAAACATATAACAATAGTCCTTCTTCTACATCAAAGGATTTAAATAACTAGACCTCTAACAACTAGTATGCTGGTATCATTATCCCTGCTCTCTGAGTTATGAAACTGAGGCAGAGGATAAATGAGATTTGCCTGCAGCTACAGCAATGAGACCTGTAACATAAGTTAAACATAGGCTTCTAGTATAGATCTGGTCTGCTTTGGCCCCTTAAATATACCTCACTACCCTGCTCTTAGAGCATTTACATATGGAATAACCAAATTTGGTTTCTAAAGGGCAAGCAAGAACAGCACTAATGACCAATGACCTCAGAAAGGCAAAAGGTTTAAATGCAGATCTGGTTTACTGTCCAAGGAGTCACACAGTTTTTATGTGCTGAGCATAGACTACGTTCCTACTTTGGCAGGTTTCTCATTCATAGGTCCTCAGACATAGGATGATAGTCTTCCTATAATACTCAAGCCCCACCTGGGTATGGTAGCATATGCCTATAATTCTATCATTTGGGAGGTAGGGACAGAAGGATCAGGAATTCAAGGTCTCCCTCAGCCACACAGCAAGCTGGAATGAAAGACCAGACTTCCCTTCATTGAAGAGGAAGATGTGAAGAAACAAGAGCTATTCACTTGCAGGTCAAGGATTCTACAGGAGTACTACTAGATACTACTAGGAGACTGCTAATTTTTTTTTTCTTCCCAAGACAGGGTTTCTCTGAGTAGCCCTGCTATTCTGACCAGAACTCAGAGATCCACCTGCCTCTGCCTCCCAAGTGCTGGGTTTAAAGGAGTGTGCCACCTTCAGTCTGCTAATTTTTAAATGAAATTTACACTTCAGGAAGTAAACACAATGGGTACAAGTGTGTAACAAAACTCAGAGGTAGGGCTAGGTATGGTACTGCGTTCAGAAGGCTAAGCTTGACAGTCAGAGGCCAGCCTGGGCTAATGGCAAACATCTGTCTCAAAAAGATAAAACTCAAAAGCAAACCAAAGACTCTCAAAGACAAAGTCTAGCTTTGCATCAACACCCAGGCAGGTATGCGCTTTGGAGTAGGTTATTTAAGTTCTCTCAATAGAGAAGGTCAAGTTTCTCCACAGTAAAGCAAACTGATGCCTATCTTTCCAGGTGGCTGTGTGGATTAGAAATCTAGATATACTACTAGATATGAATGCTCTCTCTTGAGATCTTCAGAACAAATGTTCTGGTTAACCCTACAGAAAATAAACTTTATATGCTTGTGATCATATTGGCTAATAAACTAATTCTACTTCAGGGCAGTCTCTAAAAACAGGTATTAAATTACTTTCTTAGATATACTGTTTACTATATGAAATTTAAGTATCCTCGGAAGTGCTCAGGCAGGTTCCAGGTAGAGATGTGTGAATAATTAACTGTTATTACAATACAGGTCTCTGTTGTTTTCTAACCTCACCTCCTCCCATTTCATTTGTATGAACAATTAGCTGTTTTACAATGCGGGCCTTTGTTGCTTTCAATTCCTTCCCATTTTCCACTTGCTCATCTTTCTCCCTGAAAAATGTTGTTTTTTCTTTTTAGCTTTTGTTTTTAAATTAAACCTTGCCAGGTGTACATGCCTGAAATCCCAGTACTTGGGTGTCAGAGACAGGAGGATCACCACAAATTTGAAGCCATCTTAGTCTCTATATTGAGTTTCAGGTCAGCCAGGGCTAGATAGCAAGACCCTGTTTTGAAAGAAGAGAGACTGACAGTGGTAGTACACATCTTTAATCCTAGCACTCTGTGAGTTCCAGGGAAGCCAAAGCTATACAGAGAAACCCTGTCTCAAAAACCAAAACAAACAAACAAACAAAAAATCCAAATCAAACAAAACAAAAACAAACAAACAAACAAAAAAAAAAACCCCAAGAGAAAAAGAAATCAAACCTTAATTAGGCTATCTTCTTGGGGAAAATATATTGTTATGTAACTGGTATGTATTCTCTTGGCAAATTTCCAACAAATAAAAACATATAAAAGTGAAAGTTTCAGATGTTTAGATTATCCTGAGGGAGGTCTTTACATAACATGGGTTTAGAATAATCCCTGGTATTTAAATTTTGTAGTAATTCCTCAACTGTTAAAATACAGATTATTCAGAAAATTCCATGTTTTTTCAGGAGTTATCTATCCTAGTCCCACTCCTCACATGTCCACCATCACAAACTCCCACTCTTTCTGCAAAGCCCAATTAGAAGTAAAGCTTTCCTGAGTCAAGTTAGTTCCTGAAGCTTTCCTCCTAACTCTACAAGCCGATGCAGGCAGCACTTCTTGATGCTCCTCTAGAGGGCGCCTGGTTCACACCTGACTTCTTTCGGATTCTAACCCACTCTACTACAGTACGCTCAGATCACCTGGCTGTACCCAGACGACATAATATTTCCAATGCTTTGGTTACTCAATGCATCAGCTGAGATCCTGGCACATAATGCACACTCTCTTCCTCCCTACAGGCCATTCGAGCTTCCAAGACACACTTTTCCTATCTGTAAAATGGAGATGAAGGTACATGCACCTCAGAGTGTGACTGGGGTGGGGTTAAAGGAAACTGCACTTAAAATATTCAGTATGGAGAATTCTGGTGTTGGAAAGCTGGTGGATTAGATCATCTAAAAATTCCATTCCAGGCTGGGCTACAAACTGAGGCTGTATCTGAAAAACAGATATATTACTACTTAGAAAGCAGACTGTGTTGACTGAACTTCTAAATCTTTACTAGTAATCAAACCCATCAGTTAAAGATTAAAATGGGCAATAATGAACAAGACATAAAGATATATTAAACTAGGTTTGTTAATACACGTCTGTAATTCCAGTACTTGGGAAGTAGAGGCAAAAGAATCAGTTTAAGGTCATCCTCGGCTATATGAAATTGTCTCAAAACAAACAAAAAATACAATATATTTTTAAGTCTTTAAAAACTAAGAGCAGGTATGGTGGTACATGACTTTAATTCAAGAACCCAAGAGACAGAGGCAGATCTCTATGAGTTTTTGTCCAGCCTGAACTACACTGCAAGTTCTAGGTACATAGTGAGACCCTGTCTAAAAAAAAAAGTTTTTTTGTAAACAATAAAGTACTGCCAAACAGTATATTATTTATCTTCACTAAAACTAAAAATCAAGAAATAGTTTTCTACCTTAAGTTTTGGATATATGTGGCGTAGAGAATCTGCAGTTCCCATGTCAGCCTCATCAGGAATGCATACGATATCTGGTTTCATTTTCATCTTGAATTCTGTGCAGAGTGCTTTTTGAACATCTTTGGTTGTAATCACAATGACTTCTATAGGATGAAAGAAATAGCAGACAAATGCAGAAATTCATTCACCGAGACAATTTCAATCATTCAGTCAAATGTGCTCTATTGTGGTAGGTAGCACATGTCTGCAGTTTGCACACCAGGACTCCAGAGGTAGAGACAGAAGATCAGGCATAAGACCTTCCTCGTCAAGTTCAAGACCATCATGGACTAAGTGCGAACTTGTCTCACAAATTCAAAGTCAAAAATAATACCTGATAATATTACTGAGCCTTTCCAATGTGTTTTATGTTTTAAATGGAAAACCAGCTTATGTTTAATTGTGATATTTTAAAACTGTACAAGTTTTTTTTACCTCTGTCCTCCCATTCTATATTGAGTCTCCTAAAATGACAGGAAAATGTCACCAATCACAGGTTGGATGAGTTAATAATGCAGTTCCTACATGCAACACTAATATCCTTAAAGCACCAGTCAGACCTGGCAGTGGCCAACAGTTAACTTCGTCTTCAGGGTTAAAAACTTCAGGCCCTTTGAGGGCTGTGACTCAGTGGCACTTGTCCAGAGGTGGCACCTCCCTACAGTTGGGGAACTTTACAGGTACCAGTGGAAAGAAATGACTCCTAAGAACCCAGCCAGTTTGGCTGAGGTCTGTCGTTGCAATGTCTTGAGGCTCCTTTGCCTCTTTTTCTGCAGCAAGGCATGAGACTAAAACCTACCGAGTTACAGGAAAACCAGACAGTGATAGCTATGGAGGAAGTGAGCTCCTTTACCTCCCACATCCAATGCCTTTGCTTCACAGGGAAACATTAACAACAAATTCACAAGGAACTGTTAGCATTACAAGCCTACTCATCCAGGGGTGCTGGCTGGAAGGCAGGAAGGAGGACAAAAAGTGGATAGCTTCACACATTTGCTTGACACCCTTGTGCCGGTTAAATGCTAATCTTCCCTGTATCATTCTAATTTTAGTATATGCTCTGCTGAAATGAGCATTACTTTAAATTTTGTTTGTTTTTCCAGACAGGGTTTCTATGTGTAATGGCCCTGGCTGTCCTGGAACTCACTTGGTAGACCAGGCTGGCCTCAAACTCACACAGATCCTGCTTCTTCTGGGGCTAAAGTCATGCTCCACTACACCCAATTGCTTAAAAAATTTAATGTAATTATTTTATTAATTTCTGAGAATTTCATATATGCATATATTTTGATTATATTTACCAACTACTCCCAAATCTATCCTCTACCCCTTATCGTTATGTTAAAAAAAAGTGTGTGTGTATGTGTTTGTGTGCACTCACTCTCATGTGCTAAAATAGAGAAAAGTGTGACTGAAGCAGAGTATAGCAGATGCTAATTCTGTTTGGCAGGTACTGTGGAGCACATGTGTAATCTTAGCACTCTGTAGGCAGAGGTAGGAGATTACGAGTTTGAACTTAGCCTGGCATACATAGTTGATGGGAGATGTCATTCTGTAAATATGTTTCTCATACTGGTTAATGAATAAAGCACTGTTGGCCAATAGGAAAGCAAGAGAGGAGGGACTAGGAAACAAGGAGGGAAGAGGAAGTAGTAGGGAGGAGTCAGGATGGAGAGTCTGGAGAGAGCAGGACGCCAGCCAGCTCTCTGGTAAGATGAGACCACGTGAAAATACATAGATTAACAGAAATGGGTTAATAATTAAGACAGAGTTAGCCGATAAGAAACTAGTACCTGGCCAACAGCATTATATCCAATACAGAGTCTCGGGGTGTTAATTGGGGCTGGCGCGGCGGCGGTACAAGACCAGCAGCAGGCGGAAAAACCTACTCCTTACACAGTGATTTTGAGGTTAGCCTTAGTTTTACCAGGTGGTGGTGTGGGCCTGTAAACCTAACTATTTGGGAAGCTAGGGAGGAAAATTAAAAATTCAAGATCTGCCTAACTACAAAATGAGTTCAAGGATAGCTTTAGCAACTTTAGTGGGAGCCTCTTCTTGGTTTGTTTGTTTGTTTGTTTAAAGGAAAAAAACAGAGATGGAGATATGGCTCAATAATAAATCATTTACCTACCAGGCTTGAGGATACCAGTTTATTAGAGAAAGACTGAGCAGGAGTTGGTGAGATGTAAGGGTACTTCCTTGATCCCAATGACCTGAGCCCACATAGTGGAAGGAGAGAACTACTGACTTCAAAAAATTGTCCTCTGACCTCCATATGAGCCACAGTATGCATATATACATATACTGAGGTACACTCACACACACTAGGTAAATGTATACAAAATGTTAAAAATTCTACACTTAGAGATTTAATTTAGCTGGTTTCTATATGCATGAAATCATGTATTCTATTCCCAGCACTGCATAAAATTTAGTTTGGGGGCACATGTCTATAATCCCAGAACTCAGGAAGTACATGTAGGAGGGCTGAGGTCCAAGATCATCCTCCACTACACAAATTTGAAAACCTCTAATCCTATTGCTTGGGAGACAAAGGCAGATGGATCTCTGAGTTTGAGGCCAGCCTGGTCTATATTAATTTCTAGGTCAGAAAGAGCTGCTATGTGGAGAGACTTTGTCTTGAAAATACAGATAAAAATAGTAATAATTAATTAGAAGCTGGAGAGATGGCTCAGTTGTTAAGAGAACTAGCTGTTCGGCCAGGTAATGGCACATGACTCTAATCCCAGCACTTGGGGGGCAGAGGCAGGCAAATCTCTGAGTTTGAGGCCAGTCTGGTCTACAGAGTGAGTTCCAGGACAGCCAGGGACACAAAGAGAAACCTTGTCTCATCCTCTCTTGAAAAACCAAAAGGAAAAAAAAAAAGCATTTGCTGCTCCTACAGAGGACCTGGGTTCAGTTCTCAGAACTCTCATGGTGATTCACTACCATCCTTAATGTCAATTCCAGAGAATCCAACCCTCTCTCCAGACCTCTTCTGGTACAGGTATGTATGTGGTGCATATGCATACATTCAGGCAAACCATTCACACACATAAAGTATAATAAATAAAAATAAAAAATGAAAAATAAATTAATTGATTAGGGGTTGGAGAGATAGCTCAGCAGTTAAGACTGCCTGCTGCTCTTGTAGAGTACTCAGGTTCAATTCCTAGCACCCACATGGTGGCTCACAACCATCTGTAACTCTAGTTCCAAAGCACCCAGCGCTCTCTTCTGGCTTCTGCAAACAACAGGTATAAACACGTTGCACTTACATTCATGTAGGTAAAACACTCCACTAATTAATTTTTCAAAATAATTCTACATCTAGGAAGCACCCTGTTATGAGCACTTTCCCGCCAGCCTGGTCCCAGAGCTGTGTCAGTCCCAAAATAACACAGACACTATATTAATTATATTGGCCGGTTACTAGCATTTTTTATTGGCTAGCTCTGTCTTAAATATTAACCTATAATCACTAATATATGTATTTCTATGTGGTCTTATCTTACTGGGAAGGCCAGACTCGAGTCCTCTCTTCCTGAGATCATATCACAACTCTAATACATTTCCCGGAATCCTCTACCTCTCCTAGTCCCACCTATCTTGCTTCTCTATTGGCCAACAGTGCTTTACTCATTAACCAATAAGAAAAACATTATTTACAAAATGACATCTGCCATCAGCACCCCTCAAATTCTTACTGAGCCTTAGTAAGAAAGGATTTTATGCACAGTCATCATTACATATATAACAAAAGGTGCATCCCTGGTGGCCACAGAGGTCAAAACATACACGCAGGCAAAAATATTCATACTCATAAAATAAACCTAAAAAATATTAAAACATAACACAAAGCACTTGTTTATTTTCATATGTGTGTCATGTGTGCATACATATGCAGTGGCCCCCAGAGGCCAGAAAAGAATGCCAGATTCCCTGAAGCTAAAGTTATAGACCATCTGTTGTGAGCTGTGAGGTCTGAGCTGCCATGTGGGAACTGGGAACTGAACTAGGTTCCTCTGGAGGAGCAGCAAGTGTTCTTAACCACTGAGCCATTTCTCCGGTCCCAAGAAAGAAACTCTTTAAAATAAATCTCTTAAAACTAATGTTACCTAGACTACTGCATAGAAATGTTTATGAGTCTGTACAACCCTCACAGTTAAATGAACCCTCTTGCAGACATCTGGGCCCTAGGATCTGACACCCTGGTTTGTTGCATTTTGATTCATTCTACTTAAAAGATACCTCAAACTCAATATGGCCAAAGCTAAACTCATTATCTTTGTTCAAACCTGTTCCCTGTCTCATTTAATGGCACCATCACCCATCCAATCTGACCCAAGTGAAAAGTGGACAAAAACTCTTCCTATCAGATTTTAAGGAAGGTTCTAAAATCAGTGACTGCCTGAGCTATCTTTTCAGTCTTCTGTACTCATGATTAAAATACTACTGAGCACATCATAGATTCAGGCATTTAGATCCCAAATCTTGCCTTTCTGATATCCTTAAAGGGCCCATCTTGGATCACTGTGGAGAACCCCCTCTTTAACAGCAATATGTTTAGCACTATATTCTCATCCCCCCCATATAATAAAAGGGTACTCCTGGGTCCCCAATTTAAGCATCCAGTCTCCAGCAAACTTTCAGTCCTAGGCTGCTATCATCTACCCTCGCTCACTCATAATGCTGACAAATTATTAGGATCAAACACACTGAAAGTTTTATGACTGCATCCATCATTGCTACAGCTCACCTTCAAATCCAACACGCTCAAGCAGGTTCAGTGGGTACCAAATTAAAGGTTTGTTTCCAACTGGAAGCAGAGGCTTGGGAATGCTGGAAGTCAAGTCCGTCATCCGAGATCCCCCACCAACGGCCATAACTACAGCTTGAAACTCCATTCTTATAAAACTGCAAGCACAGGGGGGTGGGGAGAGAGATATGACACAAATCAAATGACAGACAGTACTAGTTTTGTTTTTATTTACATGAGTAGTTCCCACTTATACCAGAGGCATCACTTCCGGTTTTAGTTATCACAGTATGAAACACTCCTTAGTGGCTGTTCAAATGTCATCTTTCTCATTTTCTCTAACCAACACGAGTCTTAGTTCCAATCTTAGTAGAGTAATATAAATTAGAAACATCTGACCCTTGCACTTGAGTTGTTTAAGACAATTCAAGTGACAGCAGTAGGGGTGTATGCCTTTAATTTCAGCATTCAGGAGGCACTGGCAGGCAGATCTCCATGAGTTCAAGGCCAGCCTGGTCTACATAGGGTCATCCAAAACTATATAGTGAGAACTTGTCTGAAAAGCTTCTCCCAGGGTCTAGTTGGAGAACTGTAGTCTCACCCCTCATTAAGAAAACTTCCCTTCACAGAAGACTCAAACTAGTACAGAAAACCACAACTAATCAAAACACAGGGTTGTGGAGCCCTACAACTATGCCTACAACAAAACCCTGCAGCTAAGGACCAGGGACCGTTAAGGAAGGCAGAGCAGAAAGACAGGGACAGCAAGTTTGCTATAAGGTCATGTCTCCTAGATATGCCAGAGAGTCACACCCACGAAGTGTCACCAACATGGCTGCCTAACAAGACCCGAACAAAGAGGACACCAAAAGACAAGCTACCATCTGAGAGGGAAAGCTCACAAGGCCCCAACCCTAAGCAAAAAGCTGTAAGTAATTAAGAACAGGAGAAACAGCGAACACCAACTGGTTACTCCATATCAAATGGTGAGTCCTGAAAACATAAACACACAAGTAACATTATATGAACTGAACAGGTTGTATTTATATATTAACACACACACACACACAACAAGACAAAATTAAAGAAAAAAGAGGCCATGAATTTAAAGAGAGCAAGACAGGCAAAAGGGTAGAGTTGGAGGGAATAAAGGAAATGGAAAAACAATGTAATTATATTATAATCTCCCCACATAAAAAATTATAACCCCCCAAAAGATGACAACAAATTCAGCAGATTACAATACACTGCCATAGTGCAATGAAAGGGTTGTAAGCAAGATACAGCGAAGAAGAGTGAGAACACCTAAGTCTTC